AATATTTTGTTCGGTCCACACTCACATCTATACGGTGGTTCCTCACTTGACACAGGCACACAATGTGCTTTTTTAGATTGACACTCCGAGAAACCTTCTGCTCCGGGATTACAAATGTGAGAATTATCTGAAAAACAAATAAAAACTTTCTACAGTGACGTTCTACTGTCCAATTGGAAGTAACGATTTAACGAGTCTGTTTTTTAATTTGTAGAAACATTAGCTACTCTTCTCCATTCTTCAATCTTTACTTTATCATAGAAAGCTTGAGGGGGGGGGAGAAAACTTGACACTATAAAGTACATTTTACCTGTCGTATGTAAAATTACCTCTTCAGCTGGGCTCCATGTCACCTGAATCCGCAACGAAATCGTAAAACTTATAACCAAACTGACGAAAATTTCAGTTGGACAGAAACAAAACCGAAAGCAGTTAAAAATTATTTAATTTTTCTGTTGTACAGCATCCAATAAAAGCGCGTAGTTACGTGTAATTTGATTGCAGTAGAACATCTTCGATAGGGATCGGTGTTGACTCTCCCCGTGATCTGGATACGTTTCGTAACGAGTGAAGACCGATCGGAAAGCTGGGGTGAGTCGGAAACAACCTATCGGAATGTTCGGTGTGGGACCCGAAAAAACTTATAAAATGGGGTTCAAGAACGCGGAGAGCTTCTCTCCTTCTTATTGTATGGCACCAAAAGGTGAAAAAGAAATCTCTTCCGCATATCCGTGTCAAACTGGATTGCACCCCGACCTCGTGACGAACTTTCTCTTTCCAATGACGACCTTCCGAAAGTATCCGAAAGAATAGTTCCAGTGGGATTCACCCTTCGAGAGACGAAACAAATTAGAAGACCCGACTTCGACTACTGTCGACTGTTGTAGCTGTAAGCTTAACTCTGTATGTTCTCAGTTCTGTTTCTGAGTTTCTGTTTCCAGGTAATGTTGAGTCCAGGCTTTACTTTCTGACAGATAAAACAACAAATAAATTAATTTTTGTTTCCTTTATTCAAATGGTACCTTGCTTAGTCTATTATTTTAAATGATACAATCATACAGTTGTACACTTAAGTACCTCATAAATGCTTCCAATAAGTCAGTTAAATACAGCCATGCAGTGAGCCCACGTTCCTTCTCTAATCTGATGCATAATTTTAAAAGTAAACTTATTTCTTCTCTGAGCCAAGCGAAGCACGTAACAACAGAAACGTTACAGGAGCATTATTGCATAATGCGGTGCCACATGTCGATCAAACAAAACGACAAAAATATCGAAGCTGTGCTTGCCAGGTTTCGAACCTGGGACCTTCCGCGTGTGAAGCGGACGTGATAACCACTACACCACAAGCACTCGACCATCTCCACCACTGAACTTTTCTAAGTCCGCTTAAATCGTTGTGCTAAGTTCAATTGCAGCAGTAAATTGGCACTTTTCTTATTCTTTTCACGATGGAAACTCGTTAACTTCACAACCACGAGTCGTCACGTCCGTCGCATTTGTTTTCTCTTCAGTAATGGCGATTCCTCGCAGATCCAACTCGCAAAGTCGTTTGTTCATCTTATCCTTCGGTTACGTGTTTTTCAATCACCAAATTGCTTCGCCGTTTTCACAGAGGAAAAACTCGCATTTGTTTTCTGGCGTGCGACAATTGCAAACACCTTTTCTGCTCTCTCCGTCTGCTTGAATGTTTACGAAATTCTTTCGAAGTTTCCCTCGGCTGAAGCTATCCGATAACGTCGCTAGATCCGAACGTGGAAAATCAATTACTTTTGAATACGACCCAGGATCAGTTCGAGAAGAAATAATGCCATTCCGCTATTCTCTGTCAGGTGTCTGTGGTGTAGCGGTTATCACGTCCGCTTTACACGCGGAAGGTCTCAGGTTCGATCCCTGACAGATACAATATTTTACGACAGCCTCAAAAATTCTTCTTCAATGCAGGTGATGGTAGATATTGATCGTCTTGTTTGCTCGTGAACTTTTTATTGTCAGTTCATTTCACAGATAATGATTGACTCATTGTGGAGCCGTTGCATTAGTGATACGAACTAAAGCGTTATTTCCCAAATTTAACTCATCATATTAGAGAGAAAATTATACAATATAATGGCAGAAGTTCAAACATATGTTTATATTATGAAAGAATTACAGTACCATAATATATATGAATGTATAAAAACCATATAATTAAGTATATGTATTGTTATATATAAAACTAAAAATTTCAATTTAATGTGGACAAATCTAACCATAACAATACCATAAATTATTTTAAAATAAAAAATTCGATATTTAATAAGAGAGTTTCGGAAAGTTTAATTGAATAACTGAAATAAGTCTAGTCAAGGCTGATAACACTAAACAAATAATATTCGTGATAATGAAATGATAAAGAACAAAACGAGAAAATAATTTAAGATAAAGCATCCGATTAATGACATTAGGAACAAACCGATAAGAAATTTTCAAAAGAATTGTAAAAAGTTAGTGAAGGTTAAACAGTTTTTGTATTATTAAATACAAGTCGACCCTCTTATAACACTGTTGATTTTTCCGTTTTATATGAATTCCATGTTGCACGAGTCACTTAGATTTTACAAATACGTGTGCCGGGCAGTGAATGGCTCACATATTTGTAAAATCTAAGTGACTCGTACAACATGGAATTCATATAAAACGGAATAATCAACAGTGTTATGGGGGTCGACTGTCTGTATATTTATAATGACATTAGTTTCATTTTCACCAATTCGTACGAGTTGTATTTACTTTCTTCGGCAGTTTAGTGGCTAAATATGAGGGAAATGAGGCAAAAAATATGAAACAAATAAAACTGATTGATAAATTATAAATACGAAAACGAATGCAAAATGATTACTTTCCTAATTATGTTATGTTCGACCATTATTCACATACTTATAACATTAAATTGCTAAAATAAATTATACGTAAACAATACAAATTTATCGAATCGAAGGTCAAATTATCATATAAGGATATGCGAGATAAGTTAACATATTAAAATTCAAAATTACTACTAAAAAACTACGCAAATAAAGATAACATTTAATTATTATTTAAAAATATGCCACACAGTTTCGGTTGAGTTTAGTACAGGCGCTTTACAATGCGATAAGTCCATGCAATAGAGTTATGAAATATCATAAAAATACTTTGTCGTTAATTCGAATATTATAGTAGAAATAAATTTTATATAAAATATAATAAGATAGAAAATTTAAGAGTTTATCTGAAGTTAAAGTATCACTTCTAAGAATTAAACTTAAATTGATAACGAGCCAGGCATTGTGACATCGTCACAATGCCTGGCATGCAATTAAATTGTATTATGGAGCCTGGCATTAAATTGCATATTAACATTATGGAGCCAGGCATTAAATTGCAGCCAGGCATTGTGACANTATATGTAGTTCTTTGCTGGGTTGTATTTGTATATATACGCTAAACATTATGGCTTCGCGTTATGAGTTTAATTTAAGACCTCACATTCTTATGTTTATCATTATTTGATGGAAGGGAAAGCCTGTAATGTTACAACTTAAGGACTGCTCATATGGGATGTAGATTTTTGCTTTAACGTATTATTTAACTCATATTTTTTGTAGACTAAAAAGCCAATTTGATGAACATGGCTGTTGAAATGTTAATTTAGTTAACCTTGTATCAAATTCTCATACGTGGAATTCTTTTAACCTAAAAACTAGAATATCAAAGAAAAATAAACGAATCATCATTTGTAATTTCCATTTTACTATTTTTGTAGAGCTGGCATTAAGCTGTCAAAGTCATTTTGAAGCTTAATTACTTCCAGGAAGCTACTTATGTAGTTGTTCTTGTAGCACAACCTTTCAAATTTATGGTACTGAAAGTGGAATATCATATTACTCGATAGCGTCACGTACAATACACACCACATCTTAATTTAGTAAAAATTCGTGGTCTTTTTTAGTTAAAAAAAAACAATAATTAATATGGCGTAATCGTAAAGTTGGTGACGCGATAGACTCATACATTATTCAGTTGATACTTAATCCTTATATTTATAAGAGAAGAATAGATAAAATACTATTATTTATGATTCTATGAGTTAATTTATGTATGGCTCTTGTGCATGCAGACCATACTAATCTTCTGTAAGCTATAACAATTTTCAAATATGGTCATTAAGTGAGTTCACATGACTCCTCTTTAGACTCATCGGATGCGAGTCGAAAACAATTGGACTGACGGGAGAAGGCGATGCAACATACCAAGGGGAGGACTTTCTACGAGAAAACCGGTCCTTATTAAGTATTAGACAGATCAATTACTAATGGGCATAATTGAGGCTGGCCACATAATCTATTGAATTAATGAATGCCCACTGATTGGATTCGAATCCGGATTCTTGTGTAATGCTACTTTATATCTTAATTCATTAAACTGAATGGTACATGGTTTAGAAACTTATAACTAATCCTTTTCGATTGTTTAAATAGGGAAACATCTCCATCTAAATTTAATAATAATTATATTACTCATTGATGATCTGTCATGTTTTGCTGACAATTTAATATAGAAATTACAGTCAGGACCTCTTATATATTGTAATTTATAATCTGTATGGCACATTTTTGGCTCATTTTAATGTCGATTTCTCGGGAATCTTTACGGATGAATGGATTTTTCTCTCGCATTTCTAGTAAAATACTTAATTTTATATTATTTCTAGAATTAATATATATTAGAAAGTCTTAAGAGGTCTTTAAAATGTTAATTTTAACTATTTTTTTATACGTATTAAAATATCTTTTTCCCGTTCTCGATAAACAACTGGCACATTTATTAGGTTATCCACCTGGACTTGTCTGATGTATCGAAGTTGCGCATTTATTTCTCTAATCTTACATGAAACTTAACTTCACAAATTTTATATAATTAAGACAAATAGAGCAGATCTTTACAGCACACTAATTTGCGCATTGAAAAATCCATAAATTATATATTTTTTAAATTTTTAAATGAAAGTTCATTTGTTGTTCTACTTACATGTGGACGTTTCCATTCTATATATACGGGAGGGCTTCTACTAAAGTAGAGCGAAGCATCTTCAGCAGGAAATTGCGGATCTTCAAATAAAACACCTTCATCAAGGCATTTCTGTCGAAGTTTAGCAAAATCTTGAACATTTCGTTTCAAACGAAATCCTGAACCTCTATCACCATACTAAAAAAATTAAGAAAATACATTATATAAATTACTTTCTGGGCATAGAAATGTATAAAAATACGCGAAATTTTCATGTTAATCTTACTATCCACATGTGGCATACATCAGTAAAAAATAACATGCAAAAATAACATGTAAAATTGGTGTTATATAACAATTTCCGCCCATTTTCTCGATTATTTCTTGCATTGCCTTCACCTTTGTAAGGTTAACCAGGGTTTTATCTAGATTTAACACTATAAAGATCAAGATTTTACCCCTGTTTAACCTCATAAAGGTTAGGGGTTTTGCCCCTGTTAAACTTCATAAAGGTCAAGGTATTAAGCGTGTAGATTACATTAAAAAGAAACCCCTCCTCCAACGGAAATTTAATGACATTTTAAACGTTATAACTAATTATTACACATGTTTATTTATTATTCAAGCATGATGATTGTGACAATATGCTACTACAGAATTAAATAAGCCACTAAACACTTCTTGAACTTGTTTATAGATTCTAACTTTCAACCGAGTAGTTCAAGGTGAGCAGGTGTTTTGAAAAATAACCTTCATATTATTTTCCTTTTGTTTAAATATAATATAAAGGGATAAGGAGGAGCAGAGGGGTTAAATTTTTGATTTTAAGTCAAGTTTTTGTGTTTGAAGTGGATGAAAATGAATAAAATCTTGAAGCTTTCTACATATGCTATTGTGTAATTTAATACATTTTGAGGTTTTTGTAACTTAAAATAGATGTGGGAGGCGAAGATAAGCGATATCTTTACTTAAATAAATTATTTTTTAAATAATATTTCTAGTTGATATCTTATTTAATCATATTTTTATCAGGTTGAGTAAGCAAAGCAAACACTTTCTTGGTAGTGATAATACTCTGAATATTATTAATAAACGTTGCTTAAAGGACAGAAATTCTGCTTTAAAAATTTATACAGATATTAATTGTATAATTAAAAACATTTTTTTAAAATATTTAAATATAAAATTAATAATATTTTAAATAAATACTACATAATTTAATACTTTATATAGCATTAAAAAATGAAAATGGGTTAAGAAAGTTGGGAGAATTCACTCCAGAAAATCACTACATCTCCTATCCTCAGAGTATGCTCTGAAGGTAGGATACAATACAAAATCCTATCCTTAAAAGTACGTATATTTTCATTGTATGAGTTTAATTAAACACATACATTCGTCGAGACTAAACAAACATAAAGTTATATACTTACTCTGTATATTCTCCAGCCGTATGTAGTTGTAGTAATGGTTGGCATGATACTTCACGTGCTTCCCACATAAACAGACAATTTCGCTGTGTGAGGACAACAGCCTACACTTCACTACAACCCCAACTTTTACTCACTTTCGATACGTCACTAATGACGACACTACAGTTTTATTTTTGTTTCCGTCATGATTTCCTGTTTGCTCTTTTTTTTCCTCCCTCTCTCTCTCGTTAGATATTGTAATTAAAGTAAACGTATACGTAACATTTGTCACGAGGAACCTCCATGTTTTATTTATTATGATAACGTTTTGTTGGAGAGTTGCGTAAAGGTTTTCTATGCTAATTATGGGATTTACCAATAAATATGATGTTGTAAAAGGGGTTAATGTTTTATGACTATTGTTTACAATAATTTGAAATTATTTACAGATATAATGCTTGAAATTTTCTAAAATTACAACATTTCTTTTCGTTAGAACTCATTTTATTTTTTTCCTACCCCATTATTTATAAATGGCTGAAGTATTGCCAAGCTAAACAGTAAACCACTCGAGATAAGAGCTGTAAATCAGTATTAAAAGTGTAAATCAGTGAAAAATTCTGTTATTATTAAAACTAATACCGACATTTTTCTCTAAAGTCACTTTCCAGCATCTGCAGTTGTTCGCTACATAAACACAGAAGGGGGAATATGTCTAAAATAGAAGTATATATACATTACAACCCCGGAGAGGCTCGAATTTCTTAACTTAAACTTCCAATCTATAGCTTAGATACATCACAAAGAAATCTGTTTTCAAGTGTTTTTGTATATATTACACACTACACTTTAAGAGAGTTCATTAATTCCTTTACAGATTATTCCCCAATTAGTGATATATATCGCACTTCATTAATCTTTCCTAAAATAATCAGCCATTATTTTTATGTGCATGAATAGTTGAAAGACCAAAAAATAAATATAGAAACACACACACACACCAATTTATGACTGTTTTAATTGGAGAATATGAAGATTTATATAATGTTTCTGCTAAGAATTTCATATATTTCTTGAAAATTCTGTTATATTTTAATGATATTGATGGCCTGACACAGTTATGACCACGTCTTAATGACTTATTAATTTATATAAAATTAAAGTTTCTTTATATTATTAAATAACGATTAGTTAAACGGGAATGAGAAATTTAATTGTAATTAATTAATTGTTGTTTATTAATAGTATAAAGAAACTTTAATTTTAATATATAAATTAATTGCAATCAATTTCTTTATTACGTTTAAAAACTTTTTAAAATGTAATTAATTTCTCAATTTTAATAAAGAATTTAAACGTAATAAAGAAATTGATTGCAATTAATTTATATATTAAAATTAAAGTTTCTTTATACTATTAATAAACAACAATTAATTAATTACAATTAAATTTCTCATTCCCGTTTAACTAATCGTTATTTAATAATATAAAGAAACTTTAATTTTATATAAATTAATAAGTCATTAAGACGTGGTCATAACTGTGTCAGGCCATCAATATCATTAAAATATAACAGAATTTTCAAGAAATATATGAAATTCTTAGCAGAAACATTATATAAATCTTCATATTCTCCAATTAAAACAGTCATAAATTGGTGTGTGTGTGTGTTTCTATATTTATTTTTTGGTCTTTCAACTATTCATGCACATAAAAATAATGGCTGATTATTTTAGGAAAGATTAATGAAGTGCGATATATATCACTAATTGGGGAATAATCTGTAAAGGAATTAATGAACTCTCTTAAAGTGTAGTGTGTAATATATACAAAAACACTTGAAAACAGATTTCTTTGTGATGTATCTAAGCTATAGATTGGAAGTTTAAGTTAAGAAATTCGAGCCTCTCCGGGGTTGTAATGTATATATACTTCTATTTTAGACATATTCCCCCTTCTGTGTTTATGTAGCGAACAACTGCAGATGCTGGAAAGTGACTTTAGAGAAAAATGTCGGTATTAGTTTTAATAATAACAGAATTTTTCACTGATTTACACTTTTAATACTGATTTACAGCTCTTATCTCGAGTGGTTTACTGTTTAGCTTGGCAATACTTCAGCCATTTGTAAATAATGGGGTAGGAAAGAAAAAAATGATTTCTAACGAAAAGAAATGTTGTAATTTTAGAAAATTTCAAGCATTATATCTGTAAATAATTTCAAATTATTGTAAACAATAGTCATAAAACATTAACCCCTTTTACAACATCATATTTATTGGTAAATCCCATAATTAGCATAGAAAACCTTTACGCAACTCTCCAACAAAACGTTATCATAATAAATAAAACATGGAGGTTCCTCGTGACAAATGTTACGTATACGTTTACTTTAATTACAATATCTAACGAGAGAGAGAGGGAGGAAAAAAAAGAGCAAACAGGAAATCATGACGGAAACAAAAATAAAACTGTAGTGTCGTCATTAGTGACGTATCGAAAGTGAGTAAAAGTTGGGGTTGTAGTGAAGTGTAGGCTGTTGTCCTCACACAGCGAAATTGTCTGTTTATGTGGGAAGCACGTGAAGTATCATGCCAACCATTACTACAACTACATACGGCTGGAGAATATACAGAGTAAGTATATAACTTTATGTTTGTTTAGTCTCGACGAATGTATGTGTTTAATTAAACTCATACAATGAAAATATACGTACTTTTAAGGATAGGATTTTGTATTGTATCCTACCTTCAGAGCATACTCTGAGGATAGGAGATGTAGTGATTTTCTGGAGTGAATTCTCCCAACTTTCTTAACCCATTTTCATTTTTTAATGCTATATAAAGTATTAAATTATGTAGTATTTATTTAAAATATTATTAATTTTATATTTAAATATTTTAAAAAAATGTTTNTTTTGTTGGATTATCATTTATTCCTTTTCCCGGTAATTCCAGTCCATTATAATCCAATAAACTAGCGCTTCGAATGGATTGGTTTGATTTAATAAGACAATGCAACACATGGGCGATCTGCCAAGGAAATGCCCACTGGGAGTTCTTTCTATGGAAAATTAGCTCTTATTTAGATATTAGAGATCACTACCAAGAAAGTGTTTGCTTTGCTTACTCAACCTGATAAAAATATGATTAAATAAGATATCAACTAGAAATATTATTTAAAAAATAATTTATTTAAGTAAAGATATCGCTTATCTTCGCCTCCCACATCTATTTTAAGTTACAAAAACCTCAAAATGTATTAAATTACACAATAGCATATGTAGAAAGCTTCAAGATTTTATTCATTTTCATCCACTTCAAACACAAAAACTTGACTTAAAATCAAAAATTTAACCCCTCTGCTCCTCCTTATCCCTTTATATTATATTTAAACAAAAGGAAAATAATATGAAGGTTATTTTTCAAAACACCTGCTCACCTTGAACTACTCGGTTGAAAGTTAGAATCTATAAACAAGTTCAAGAAGTGTTTAGTGGCTTATTTAATTCTGTAGTAGCATATTGTCACAATCATCATGCTTGAATAATAAATAAACATGTGTAATAATTAGTTATAACGTTTAAAATGTCATTAAATTTCCGTTGGAGGAGGGGTTTCTTTTTAATGTAATCTACACGCTTAATACCTTGACCTTTATGAAGTTTAACAGGGGCAAAACCCCTAACCTTTATGAGGTTAAACAGAGGTAAAATCTTGATCTTTATAGTGTTAAATCTAGATAAAACCCTGGTTAACCTTACAAAGGTGAAGGCAATGCAAGAAATAATCGAGAAAATGGGCGGAAATTGTTATATAACACCAATTTTACATGTTATTTTTGCATGTTATTTTTTACTGATGTATGCCACATGTGGATAGTAAGATTAACATGAAAATTTCGCGTATTTTTATACATTTCTATGCCCAGAAAGTAATTTATATAATGTATTTTCTTAATTTTTTTAGTATGGTGATAGAGGTTCAGGATTTCGTTTGAAACGAAATGTTCAAGATTTTGCTAAACTTCGACAGAAATGCCTTGATGAAGGTGTTTTATTTGAAGATCCGCAATTTCCTGCTGAAGATGCTTCGCTCTACTTTAGTAGAAGCCCTCCCGTATATATAGAATGGAAACGTCCACATGTAAGTAGAACAACAAATGAACTTTCATTTAAAAATTTAAAAAATATATAATTTATGGATTTTTCAATGCGCAAATTAGTGTGCTGTAAAGATCTGCTCTATTTGTCTTAATTATATAAAATTTGTGAAGTTAAGTTTCATGTAAGATTAGAGAAATAAATGCGCAACTTCGATACATCAGACAAGTCCAGGTGGATAACCTAATAAATGTGCCAGTTGTTTATCGAGAACGGGAAAAAGATATTTTAATACGTATAAAAAAATAGTTAAAATTAACATTTTAAAGACCTCTTAAGACTTTCTAATATATATTAATTCNGCCTTTAAATTGTATTATGGAGCCTGGCATTAAATTGCATATTAACATTATGGAGCCAGGCATTAAATTGCAGCCAGGCATTGTGACATCGTCACAATGCCTGGCTTCAATTTATAATCATAATTTTAATTTAAATATATGCTCTCCATTTCATTTTAATAGTAGTTTAATCCTGTATAACATGCTTTTCTTTTAACAATAGAGTCGCGCTGGTCATCTAACTGCTTTAAATTAAAATAACCTTAGTCAATATAGTTAATCGGAGCCTTCTACCCCTACAGTTTCCATATCTATTCTGTTCTTTCATTTACCTAACAGACAGACAGACAGTGGGAATTTATAGATTTACAATTTCATTAACTCTTTTCTGCTTGTGGACATTAAGAGGAGCTTTTTAGCAAGCCCACTGTCGAAAAAAACAGGTAACCAAGAGTTTATGTTTAAATATAATAAAAATGTATTGATATAATGCTCGTATATTATAATATTAATACTTGGTGGCTTGAATGTAGAAGTCCGAATTTCTTTTCCCCCACTGATTCGAGTTAACCATGTTCCATTGTACAAATACTAATTGAAACTTGCTATCTAACTATAATATTTAATAAACTATTTATTAAATTAATATTCTGTTGTCAATAAATAGATATTTTTCTAGGAAAAGTGCTATACGAACCTTAAAATTATATTTTCCATATTGTAACAATTCTAATAAAATTATAATGTGATAATTTACAGTTTTTGTATTCTTTAAGTTTATTTCCAATTATGTTTTAATAATAATGTATTATAAATTAAAAACTGTATTATAGACAAATAACGTTATGAAAATTCACCATATATATATATATATATACTTGATATGTTTTTTAATTAACCTAACATACATCTAGATGTAAACCAGTGGCACACCAAGAGGATGTTCGAGAAGCCCTGGCACCCTCCAAAGAAAAAAAACAAACACTAACTCGGCTCCCCTCAACATTAAATCGTAAGAGTTCGCCACTGATCTAAACCACGATTAAACAAGTAAAAATGTAATTAATTACGTTATAAATTTTTTATAATATTACATTAATATACATGATTTATTAACTTCGATCACCTCTTTCCGGTTTTGGTTTTGATTACACGAGATACGACTATATTAAACAATACTGTTTTTTACAATTAAACTGTCTATACTTTAAATAATAGAAAATAATTTTAAACAATTCATACCTATAGATCTTGCCGTGAAAACTGGTAAAATTATGAATATTATCAAAACGTTATATGTTTTTCCCATGTTAATACAAAGGATCATGAAGCAATAGTCACGTTTAGCAACAACAAAACTATATAGATAATGCCGCGATAATCTTCGTAACCAATAGCTTCAATAAAACACAAAAAAATTATTATTTATCATTTAATTCGATGACGTAGAACAGACGTATTATAAAAATAGATAATTTTTAAACAGTAATACAGTAAGACTCAGCTTAATGCATCCCCCGTGTTAAGCGGGGTTTTACTGTACAAGAATATTTTAAATTAATTTATTTCTAATGATTAAATTTAACACCGGATGGCGAATCAATCCCTTATCTATAGACAAATTACTTAGCATCTTAATAATTAATTGTCCGTATTATAGCCCAAAACAAATCTGGCTATAATGTAATTATTTAAAGAATTATAAAGTTGAGACGATGCATTCAATCTTTTTTTTTTTCATTGGATGGTCATCATTTCCCTATGCAGGGATCAGAGTCACCCTTGTCCCGCAAATAGCACCACAAGGGCATTCAATCTTAATGAAATTTTAAATAATTTAGAGGCCCACCTGCGGTCAAGCGGTTCCGTTCCCTAGTTCGGTCGTGGGGGGTTGCGACCGGATGGCCGAGCGATCAAGGTGGCAGCCTACCGCTCTGGGGGACCCGGTTCGAATCCGAACGGATCGAAAAATCCCCAGGAATTTTTCGGGGGTGGTCCGTTCGGATATGTCGGGTCCCGTCCCTCACCACTCGGCAGCCCCATCGTGGACCTGGCCGAACCCATAATGGGCTTTGCAAAAAGAGGCCCTCTTAGTGCCCACAGGGCGGAAAGAGTTAAAAAAAAAAAAAAAAGTTCGGTCGTGGGTGGGTTCGCGCCTCGCCAGGACGGGCTGACTGCGTGGAGTTTTTTGGGTTTTCTCCACGTCTGTAACAGCCGAATAGGGCCAGTTACCCTTAAAAACACCTCCCGGAAGGCATTCCGCCCATGTGTCGCGTTGCCGTCTACGACTAAACCAGACCAAACCTAAGGAATCGTCCACAAATTACGTAACACTATTTTCATACTTTTCAACTATTGCGTCACTTTCCTGTAACGCGCCGTAACACTATCAAATATACTCCCTCCCAAAATTACGTAACGCGTATAACCTCCTTAATTATTCAAAGGTATATATAGCATGGAGTACCGAACGTTATAGGCCTACTATTTTATTAATTACTTGTATAACGTACAAAGTATTGATATAAACATAACTATTCCATATGCAACACTTCAGAAACAAAAATAGATCATTCTCTTACCCAAGGATTAAGTCCTTAGCGTTACATTCTTGTAAACACCCCATCCCCTTGTAAAGATTATTATGAAGCATTTATCGTAAAGATTACATGTTAATGAAATATTTTTACATTATAAATAGAAATTTAAGGAAGATCGATGAAATTAAAATTATAATTTCACAGATTTTTCAAAAATAAGATAAATGGGTTTAAAACAACGAGAGTACCCTCTTTCGCTTTCTATTTAAAACAACTTTTTCAGATTTCTATAATTAAGATATTTCTTATTAATGGCTCCTCTAAGAGAATTAAAGAAACCCATAGAAAAAAATTCTTGATTTTCCTCGCCAGCATTCGAACCCGGGTGCCCCAGAGCCGTGGCTTGGCATCTCGGAATCACACACCGACTGATAATTTAGTTTCGTTTTGATAAAATTCGAACGTTATCGTTACGAAAACAAAACCGTGTGATAAATTCAGTGTTTAAAACACGTATTTTTGTGTTAAACTTCATAAGAATCGAATCGAAAAAATGAAATCGTACTTTCTTTTATGTTCAATTCTTCTCTTTAATATGGTAAACGGAAGAATTTTAAAGAGAATTTGCCCGCCTCCCGAAGACATACCAAAATGTGAGTGCTGGTATTTTACAATTTCTTGTCGTTATTTAACAGATCCAAACGAACTGAAAAACTTAACGAAATATTTATCTAATTACGAAGTGAAATTCTTCAATATACACAACTCTGTACTGATGTATCTACCGAAAAAACTGTTTGTTCAATTTCACATTGAGTATTTACGTATACAAAACAGTAATATATTAAAATTTGAGACAGATAATGGAGAAGAAATGTTTATAGGATTGGAAAGAAGTTTGGAAGAGATATATTTTTATAAAATTAATCGAATGTCATGGAAATGGTATACATTTAATATACTACAACGGTTGAAGTTATTAGAAATAACCATGACTAATTTAAAGAAGATCGATGATGTCTTTCCTAAACTTCTCTCACTTAAAACTCTTAAATTACGGCATAATAATATAGAATATATACATGAATATGCGTTTTCAAACCTTATAAATTTAGAAGAATTGGACATGAGTAGTAATGCCATCAATACCATTTATCGAAGTTTATTACCCGATCCTGCAAAGAAATTACGAGTTATTGATTTCAAGTAAGTCTAACTTTAATACTAACGATTCTATTGTTTGTTTGTATATTGCAACGGACAGCTGTGGTATCTGCTGAGGGGATGGCTTTCTGTAAGAAGCTGGTCCCTATTCAGGCGTTACAAACGTGAAAACTCAGTAAACTCCACGTGGCCAACGAGGCGCAAACCCACAACTATTCAGTGGTTTTATCCACTCTGGCATAATGGGTATGCTAAATTAAAATCCCAAATAGTTGTCTGTAGGGATTTTAGTACTCTTTCCGCCCTGTGGATATTAAGAAAATCTTTTAAATCATAGCCATTATGGATTCGGCCAAGCCAACAATATGATAACGGGAGTTGAACCCGGATCTGTTTCAAGGGCGGTCTGTCCCGAGGACCATGCCCTGGACAGATCGTCCATGAAAAATTCATGGGGTTGCTCGCCCGAATTGTTAAAAAAAATCCCTTTAAACTTGTCCAAAACCAAAAATGGAAAACCTGTTGCAGTTTGGAGCGGAAAGTAAAGCTTCGTCGGTTTACAATGTAATGATTTATTCATACTAAATATAAAAATAACAGCATTTTATATTTATTAAATTACTTAAATAACGGTAAAGTCAAACTATGAAATGACATTCTTTAACTATTTTTAAATTAAGAAAAATGGAATCGATAAACATAGTATACTGATATAGGCCTAATGAAACTGATCCCTTCACTATAGTAAAGAGATCAATCCAACAACATAATGTGTGCGTTTGCATGTTAAAGGATTGTATTTACGAATAACAGAACCTTATTAACACTGAATATTTTCTCTTTGTTCATTTTATTTGTAAACATAATCTCTGTTGTCAAGCAAACAAATAAACATGCAAGCATACACACGCACACACTTATATTGATCTACAGTCGATCCCCTTATAACACTGTTGATTATTCTATTTTATATGAATTCCATGTTGTATGAGTCACTTAGATTTTACAAATATGTGTGCTGGGCTTTGGATGGCTCATGTATTTGTAAAATCTAAGTGACTCGTACAACATGGAATTCATATAAAACGGAATTATCAACAGTGTTATAGGGGGTCAACTGTAATTGATACCAGAATGTAAGTGAATTTATTTCAGATATAATAAAATAAAAGCCATTCCAGATGATTTCTTCATACGTATGCCTAGTTTATCAGCAGTAAATCTAGAAGTAAACAGAATTAAATATATCTCACCGGTAATGTTCCAACCCATGGCCGAAGGACAACGCTTTATCGTATATCTACACAGTAATTAACTTATATATCGAATTTTTTATTATTTTAATAAAAATATATCATAATTAATAATTATAATTTTATTTTTTAGAAAATGATATCGACTGTTGTTCGAATCTAACAGAAATTATCCAAGAGGATTATATGCCTTTTTTACAGATGTCTTGCGGTTCTCCAAAGTCTTTAAGAAAAAAAGAACTTCACGAATTAGAGCTTAATATTCTTCGTAAACATTGCCAATTGGGCTAAAGTTTAATTGCGATTATTCCTATTTCAAATGAATACAAATTCTATACAATAAATAAATTGTACATCTACATTTTTTTAAAATAATCCTGATTAATTAACCCCTGCTTAAACTTTTATATGCCTTAATGTATTTTATTATTTCATATAAATAAATAAATAAATCTGATTACATTGTATATTGCCTTTACATTAACTGAATTACATCTTTATTATTTAAATAAACATTCTATATTAATATAACTGAAGTAATTACAGATTTAACTAGACTGATGATTCTAACCGGAAAAAGGGCATCAAAACAAACGAAACACAAGAAAAAAAAGCAATCGACGCCAGCGAATGTATAGATCGCCTGTCCGTGCCCCATAAATTAATTAAGGGTAGTCTTTCTCGTGTCTAATATGTGCAAGGATCGTCTCTTTCTTTTCGACAAGTGCAAGGATCGCCTATTCGTGTGGTCAGCAATGATTTTCTTCTAACCACACACACATACACTCTTTTTCTCTCTCACTCTCACACACATATCCATTATAGTGAACTCTGTTGATTCATTGTCCATCAATAGCCGATTGGATAAAACACTGGTTAGTTGCGGATTCGTGCTTCACCAGACATTCTTCGTGTGCCTAACGCCTAAATAGGACCAAGTTTCAATAGGAAATCCACTCAGGAGGCAGATTGCACATGTATTATTGCATTGCCTTGTCCCATGGTTCCACTCGATTTATTCTCTTATCTGACCATTCATTGTAACATAAATCAAGATAATTAATGAAAATTTATTAATAATACAATAAAATCGATTATTTTTTCATTCATATATTTAAAAAATAATTTATAGTAATTTAATTATTAAATAAGCAATTAATAAACTGAGCATTGTATATAGTGAGAATGGGAAAATGAACATTTGTAAAAGGTAAATTAAATTCCTGAACCGATCGAAAATAGTCTAAGAACACAAAGGATTTTTGGCAAGTTAACAAAATACGTTTTAACTCTTTGAATAGTTTCCATTAAAGATTTAGATATGGACTGGATTTGGTCTCAGCTAGGTGAAACCGGCAATCGAATTTCTAATACAGCACGTTCTGTTGTTAAAGACGTTACTAACGTCATATCACACAAAACTAATGAGCCTATATGCTACAAATCACCTGTATGTACGTGTGATCACAAACACTATCATGTACCAGTGGAGAGATCAAGATACAGGACTACTTGTAGGCCTCTGAGAGGAGGATGCTCCGGAACAGGCGAATTTCCTATTTTTCAAAGTGTATTTTTGGTAAGTTTTGTTCGCCATCTCATAAATTTACTTTAAATAAGGCAAATAATTTTTTTTAAAATTTTAATAAAGCAATTTAATTAATATTAGAAAATAACTTGTGCTGCCATCTGTTGATAACTAAAATAATTAAATTCGTATTAATACACCCTGTTAATTAAAAAATATTTAAAACGTCGGTTATATCGGTTTAATTTATTAATGTTTACTCGTATATAAAACGTAGCTCCAAATATTTAATAGGTTCATAGACTATTCGGTGAATTCCTAGAGATTAGTTCTAATCTTAGAAACATACAAGTAGACCACCCTATAACACTGTTGATAATTCTGTATTATATGAATTCCATGTTGTACGAGTCACTTAGATTTTACAAATACGCGTACCAGGCTGTGAACGGCTCACGTATTTGTAAAATCTAAGTGACTCGTACAACATGGAATTCATATAACACGGAATAATCAACAGTGTTATAGGGGGTCTATTGTAATCAATTTCCTGGTGTGAATAACTAATCCTGACAGTTTTATATATTTATATACTTTGTATAAACATTCAAATACCTTCCTGACACGCTTTAATCCTAAATTAAATTAATTGGCATATATTTTGACATCTCTCATTGGGTGAAACCGTTTTTTTTTTTCATTCCAAGTAGTCACTGTGTTATGCGTTAATGAAAGAGTTACTGTTCTCAAATTAAATTGTTATAGTAACAGAGAAGTGTTTTGTCGAGATTTTCAAGTGATAAGCTCTTTACTAAATTTATTAGGAATGAGAAACATTTGAAAAAGAAACCGAGAAGCCCTTATACAGAAGTATCTAAATTAGCTTTATTATCATCTAATATGTAATATACGGTTCAAACAATATAAAAACAGTAAACCCCCGCATTTACCACTGATATCAATTTTCTATTATGACTGTATGAAATCTTATATTTCGTATAGGTCATAATACAATACAGTTTATATCTATATCAGAAAGAAAGATAAATTCCTAATATAGGGGAAATGATTCCTCACAATAGGAGTAAAAAAGCCCATGATGGCCCTTGACGTATCGAAATCCTTTCACAGATTCTGGGGCCATATTCTGGTCATCGTCTCTGGTCTCTTGTCTCTTGCAAGCCGGTCGCTGATTGGCTAATCCAAATGATTAGCCAATCAGCGACCGGCTTGCGAGAGACGAGAGACCAGAGACAGTGACCAGAATACGGCCTCTGCTCTGCAGAACACACAGAACTGTGTATGGAGTGAAAGAAGAAGGAGGAGCGAGAGAGAGAGTAGAATCATGTATTCAACTTATTATCCGAATAAGAATTGTTGCCTTATAAGAAATAAGAAGTACACTACACACAGTTTACTACGGCGTACTCAAAATGTATCGATGTCGAGAATCTCCTATAATTAACACCTGATATGCCAAATTGTGAAGCATTCATCACTATACGTACTGTACTACCTCATTCACCTCCTGAAGTATTTAGCTTTCCTCCTGATACACCCTGTATGTAATACATAATATATACTTCAAGCTGTACTTACAGAACGTATGTTTTTAACACTAAACTTATAGGAAACAAAATGGCTCGTTTAATGACGGTTTACATAAACCAATAACCATATACATTGATGATAAAAATTTATGGAGACTCGGGACACAGCTGCACCCCCTCATTCTGGGAGTTAAGCTGGATACCTTAGGTAGTGAGAAAGTCTTACAATCTTTTCTGCAGCCCTTCTAAAAATTAATGGATCCGCCATTTGAGGATCTATTATATTATCTGAAACAGTAAATAATTGATTTCCTCATTACGGATCATCCGTTGCAATTATCTGTAATGTTTTTAAATCGAAAAATTGATTATACTGTATTAAATATGATTATACTACTTAATTACATTTCACGTTTTCGGTTTAATTAATTGTTGTTTATTAATAGTATAAATAAACTTTAATTTTAATATAAAAAAAATTAATTGCAATCAATTTCTTTATTACGTTTAAAAACTTTTTAAAATGTAATTAATTTCTCAATTTTAATAAAGAATTTAAACGTAATAAAGAAATTGATTGCAATTAATTTATATATTAAAATTAAAGTTTCTTTATACTATTAATAAACAACAATTAATTAATTACAATTAAATTTCTCATTCCCGTTTAACTAATCGTTATTTAATAATATAAAGAAACTTTAATTTTATATAAATTAATAAGTCATTAAGACGTGGTCATAACTGTGTCAGGCCATCAATATCATTAAAATATAACAGAATTTTCAAGAAATATATGAAATTCTTAGCAGAAACATTATATAAATCTTCATATTCTCCAATTAAAACAGTCATAAATTGGTGTGTGTGTGTGTTTCTATATTTATTTTTTGGTCTTTCAACTATTCATGCACATAAAAATAATGGCTGATTATTTTAGGAAAGATTAATGAAGTGCGATATATATCACTAATTGGGGAATAATCTGTAAAGGAATTAATGAACTCTCTTAAAGTGTAGTGTGTAATATATACAAAAACACTTGAAAACAGATTTCTTTGTGATGTATCTAAGCTATAGATTGGAAGTTTAAGTTAAGAAATTCGAGCCTCTCCGGGGTTGTAATGTATATATACTTCTATTTTAGACATATTCCCCCTTCTGTGTTTATGTAGCGAACAACTGCAGATGCTGGAAAGTGACTTTAGAGAAAAATGTCGGTATTAGTTTTAATAATAACAGAATTTTTCACTGATTTACACTTTTAATACTGATTTACAGCTCTTATCTCGAGTGGTTTACTGTTTAGCTTGGCAATACTTCAGCCATTTATAAATAATGGGGTAGGAAAAAAATAAAATGAGTTCTAACGAAAAGAAATGTTGTAATTTTAGAAAATTTCAAGCATTATATCTGTAAATAATTTCAAATTATTGTAAACAATAGTCATAAAACATTAACCCCTTTTACAACATCATATTTATTGGTAAATCCCATAATTAGCATAGAAAACCTTTACGCAACTCTCCAACAAAACGTTATCATAATAAATAAAACATGGAGGTTCCTCGTGACAAATGTTACGTATACGTTTACTTTAATTACAATATCTAACGAGAGAGAGAGGGAGGAAAAAAAAGAGCAAACAGGAAATCATGACGGAAACAAAAATAAAACTGTAGTGTCGTCATTAGTGACGTATCGAAAGTGAGTAAAAGTTGGGGTTGTAGTGAAGTGTAGGCTGTTGTCCTCACACAGCGAAATTGTCTGTTTATGTGGGAAGCACGTGAAGTATCATGCCAACCATTACTACAACTACATACGGCTGGAGAATATACAGAGTAAGTATATAACTTTATGTTTGTTTAGTCTCGACGAATGTATGTGTTTAATTAAACTCATACAATGAAAATATACGTACTTTTAAGGATAGGATTTTGTATTGTATCCTACCTTCAGAGCATACTCTGAGGATAGGAGATGTAGTGATTTTCTGGAGTGAATTCTCCCAACTTTCTTAACCCATTTTCATTTTTTAATGCTATATAAAGTATTAAATTATGTAGTATTTATTTAAAATATTATTAATTTTATATTTAAATATTTTAAAAAAATGTTTTTAATTATACAATTAATATCTGTATAAATTTTTAAAGCAGAATTTCTGTCCTTTAAGCAACGTTTATTAATAATATTCAGAGTATTATCACTACCAAGAAAGTGTTTGCTTTGCTTACTCAACCTGATAAAAATATGATTAAATAAGATATCAACTAGAAATATTATTTAAAAAATAATTTATTTAAGTAAAGATATCGCTTATCTTCGCCTCCCACATCTATTTTAAGTTACAAAAACCTCAAAATGTATTAAATTACACAATAGCATATGTAGAAAGCTTCAAGATTTTATTCATTTTCATCCACTTCAAACACAAAAACTTGACTTAAAATCAAAAATTTAACCCCTCTGCTCCTCCTTATCCCTTTATATTATATTTAAACAAAAGGAAAATAATATGAAGGTTATTTTTCAAAACACCTGCTCACCTTGAACTACTCGGTTGAAAGTTAGAATCTATAAACAAGTTCAAGAAGTGTTTAGTGGCTTATTTAATTCTGTAGTAGCATATTGTCACAATCATCATGCTTGAATAATAAATAAACATGTGTAATAATTAGTTATAACGTTTAAAATGTCATTAAATTTCCGTTGGAGGAGGGGTTTCTTTTTAATGTAATCTACACGCTTAATACCTTGACCTTTATGAAGTTTAACAGGGGCAAAACCCCTAACCTTTATGAGGTTAAACAGGGGTAAAATCTTGATCTTTATAGTGTTAAATCTAGATAAAACCCTGGTTAACCTTACAAAGGTGAAGGCAATGCAAGAAATAATCGAGAAAATGGGCGGAAATTGTTATATAACACCAATTTTACATGTTATTTTTGCATGTTATTTTTTACTGATGTATGCCACATGTGGATAGTAAGATTAACATGAAAATTTCGCGTATTTTTATACATTTCTATGCCCAGAAAGTAATTTATATAATGTATTTTCTTAATTTTTTTAGTATGGTGATAGAGGTTCAGGATTTCGTTTGAAACGAAATGTTCAAGATTTTGCTAAACTTCGACAGAAATGCCTTGATGAAGGTGTTTTATTTGAAGATCCGCAATTTCCTGCTGAAGATGCTTCGCTCTACTTTAGTAGAAGCCCTCCCGTATATATAGAATGGAAACGTCCACATGTAAGTAGAACAACAAATGAACTTTCATTTAAAAATTTAAAAAATATATAATTTATGGATTTTTCAATGCGCAAATTAGTGTGCTGTAAAGATCTGCTCTATTTGTCTTAATTATATAAAATTTGTGAAGTTAAGTTTCATGTAAGATTAGAGAAATAAATGCGCAACTTCGATACATCAGACAAGTCCAGGTGGATAACCTAATAAATGTGCCAGTTGTTTATCGAGAACGGGAAAAAGATATTTTAATACGTATAAAAAAATAGTTAAAATTAACATTTTAAAGACCTCTTAAGACTTTCTAATATATATTAATTCTAGAAATAATATAAAATTAAGTATTTTACTAGAAATGCGAGAGAAAAATCCATTCATCCGTAAAGATTCCCGAGAAATCGACATTAAAATGAGCCAAAAATGTGCCATACAGATTATAAATTACAATATATAAGAGGTCCTGACTGTAATTTCTATATTAAATTGTCAGCAAAACATGACAGATCATCAATGAGTAATATAATTATTATTAAATTTAGATGGAGATGTTTCCCTATTTAAACAATCGAAAAGGATTAGTTATAAGTTTCTAAACCATGTACCATTCAGTTTAATGAATTAAGATATAAAGTAGCATTACACAAGAATCCGGATTCGAATCCAATCAGTGGGCATTCATTAATTCAATAGATTATGTGGCCAGCCTCAATTATGCCCATTAGTAATTGATCTGTCTAATACTTAATAAGGACCGGTTTTCTCGTAGAAAGTCCTCCCCTTGGTATGTTGCATCGCCTTCTCCCGTCAGTCCAATTGTTTTCGACTCGCATCCGATGAGTCTAAAGAGGAGTCATGTGAACTCACTTAATGACCATATTTGAAAATTGTTATAGCTTACAGAAGATTAGTATGGTCTGCATGCACAAGAGCCATACATAAATTAACTCATAGAATCATAAATAATAGTATTTTATCTATTCTTCTCTTATAAATATAAGGATTAAGTATCAACTGAATAATGTATGAGTCTATCGCGTCACCAACTTTACGATTACGCCATATTAATTATTGTTTTTTTTTAACTAAAAAAGACCACGAATTTTTACTAAATTAAGATGTGGTGTGTATTGTACGTGACGCTATCGAGTAATATGATATTCCACTTTCAGTACCATAAATTTGAAAGGTTGTGCTACAAGAACAACTACATAAGTAGCTTCCTGGAAGTAATTAAGCTTCAAAATGACTTTGACAGCTTAATGCCAGCTCTACAAAAATAGTAAAATGGAAATTACAAATGATGATTCGTTTATTTTTCTTTGATATTCTAGTTTTTAGGTTAAAAGAATTCCACGTATGAGAATTTGATACAAGGTTAACTAAATTAACATTTCAACAGCCATGTTCATCAAATTGGCTTTTTAGTCTACAAAAAATATGAGTTAAATAATACGTTAAAGCAAAAATCTACATCCCATATGAGCAGTCCTTAAGTTGTAACATTACAGGCTTTCCCTTCCATCAAATAATGATAAACATAAGAATGTGAGGTCTTAAATTAAACTCATAACGCGAAGCCATAATGTTTAGCGTATATATACAAATACAACCCAGCAAAGAACTACATATAATAAGGATTGACTCACGAGCTTATCGTAACACAAGTGTTATTACCTGGAAACACTTCAAACCCTCGTCATTCTATGTGGTGAATACACTCTGCAGATTACGTGTGCTATCATAGAAAAAAGGTTAAGGTCATCACGGACCGTCTCAAAACACTAGAGATGGGGATTTTTCAGTGTCTGTTCTCGACACGTCTTCAATAGTTTCAAGATTTTATCTCCGCGAACGTTCCTGAATGAAAGAAGAAAACTTTTAAGATTATTTTTCTAGAAGTCTCCTCTTTAAAAGCATCTAAATTCATTACAAGTGAAACTTTCAAGAATCAAAATAGAAAATGATCCTCCTTTCTCAAGCTTCTCTTTCCTTCGTGTTTGTTTCAAATTTTTGTTGGATTATCATTTATTCCTTTTCCCGGTAATTCCAGTCCATTATAATCCAATAAACTAGCGCTTCGAATGGATTGGTTTGATTTAATAAGACAATGCAACACATGGGCGATCTGCCAAGGAAATGCCCACTGGGAGTTCTTTCTACGGAAAATTAGCTCTTATTTAGATATTAGAGACGAAGAAAACCAGAAAACAGCCGGTGAGGCGCGAATCCACGACCAAACTTGTTCGGTGGTTTTATCCATTCCCATTGGTAGGCCATTGGTACCCCATTTAAGTATTTAGTAATACAAATATTTAAGTACAATAACTATAAAAGTTAAATATATTAATATGGACTAATAAATACAGAAAAATCTTAATGGAATAATCAAGGAACTTACATTACACAATACACAGAAATTTGAAGTGATTCATAAAAGAAGTTCCAGTTATTCTACATAGGTATACGGGAAAATTTTATCAACACACAACAAATTTTATGCTATATTATATACTGAATACCGAGAATTTTAATATTAATACTAACTTATCTTGATGGTGTTACAACATAGATGTATCATCGAGAATGCCAAATAATTTCATAAAATTTGGCAATATCCAAAGTTTGACATACAAACTTTAGTATTTTATGTAGAAAGTATGTTGCAAAAGTGATATAATATGCTTTTATGAGTATTATTTTTATTCTTATATTTCTGTGCCTTTGGAAGGAGTGGATCCCATATCTGTGATTGACCCAGGCCCCATCTCACCTCTCACACCTCCAGTTCTAATGCTGAAAATGTATTATGTAGAGAAATCCTAAAATTAAAATGTATTATGTAATGTTTGGTTAATATAAACTACACGCAAACCTTGATATAACGCTAACAAGTAGGGCAATCCTTGTAAACGTCAATGACCGCATTGCTATATATAATTCCTACTGTTTGAAGTATATTATTATTACTTTAGAGCCACACTCGATTTAGTGCCAATTTCACTGGCAAACAAATAATGATAGTAAAATGTGATTTAATTTGGTAACATTCTATGAGCGGGGAGGGGGGAGGGAACCCCCCCAATCAGTAGACCCCCCCTTTGTGATCAATTAACATCTAAATAGGGACAAATTATTATTTGAGAATTGTCCATTTTCTAGATCTCCCGACGAATATTCTCTGTTCCTGCAATGATCCAAGAGTAATTAATCGAATATGTGTGTGGTGTGTACGTGTACCCTCTTCGAGTAACTAACAGTATGGAAAATATTTTGGCGAATAGCGAATGGGTGGATGCACCCCTAAGTTTGGCCTGTTGATGGAGGGGACATTTGTTTTGATTCGAGCTTCTTAAAAATATTTTTAATTCCGATACAAAATTGAACCCCAAACCCTCCAAGCAGCAGGATGATGTCTTTGCTGCGCCTCCTCCAAACGGAAATACATGCAAATATTCTTGAAATTTTCGATGATAAACAAAGCAATACGTTTTTTTTTTAATTTACTTAATAATGGGGGTAGAAAGATTAGCAATTAAGCAATTTTGGAGCTTAATTAGAATCAGTTTAATTCGAAATAATTTTATCTGGTTAAAACTTACCAACAAATCTTTAATCTTTAACTACAGTAGACTTAAAAATCTCACCTGAATTTGAATTAGACTATAAAAGATCAGAAAATTAAATGTCTTAAAAACATATTATTAATTAAAGCCTATAATTTATTTGGTTAGAATACTTCTTGTAAGAGCTTGCATCATTTAATGCCTCTAAAATAATCATTTTTTCATTAAACAGTTAGATGCATTTGATAGGAAAAGCAACAGATACATTTATAAATTTATATCTATAAAAAATACAAGAAATTTTTGTAAATAAATTAAAACTGAAAAAAACTCTCTCTCTCTCTCAAACTAGTGTTGCACAAGTTAGAGTAATTCCTAGAAGAGTTATTTTTATCCAGGTCCATTACTCTTTTTTCAGAAAGAAAAAAAATAGTCAAGATGTCCTTCAGAATAACCAATAGGTAGTACACAAAATCATCATTCTTTACCATCACCAGTTCAAAAAAAAAAAGGGAGAAATTTATTTTAAAACTGTTTTATTAAATGTGGTTTAAGTTATAGCCTTTATAAAATTTCTTTTTTAACTTAACGTTAGGTAATTTGCCCCGCCGAAAGGTAAATCTTTTATTTGGCACATATTCAATGCCTGTTATATCATTCTTGGCATGAGCAGGAGTATGACATGAATAAATGAAATATATTAAGATTGCCTATTTACTCTTTAAAATTATTATTGGTAATGCCTACAGGCTACAAAGGATTGTGGAGGTGTTCTTCCCTACCTACAGTCATACAGAATATAGTCTATATCATAAAAGTAGCAGCATAATTTTTTAAATTAATATTAACATTATAGTAATGTACCAAAAGTCAGTTAGACATTGTAATAGCAACTGGATATTTTTCATTGAACATGTTTCTGACTGCTCCATACTTTTTGCAGCATATATCCATCAATTTTGTTTTAAATTCAGTTTGATCCGTAGGACCATTCATTAATTATGTACAGTCGACCCCCTATAATACTGTTGATTATTTTGTTTTATATGAATTCCATGTTGTACGAGTCACTTAGATTTTACAAATACGTGAGCCTTTCACGGCCCGGCACACGTATTTATAAAATCTAAGTGATTCATACAACATGGAATTCATATAAAACGGAATAATCAACAGTGTTATAGGGTGGTCGACTGTATATAGTTTAAAGGGGTGGAGATCAAGGCATTGTCTGTACAGACTTTTTAGTGGCATCACAAGTGGTAATTAAGGTACGGCCCTTTACTCGTATCCAAAACATACAAAATAAAACATGACAAATTGACTCTTAAATCCTGTACTTGATATTATTATTTTCAAAATTAAGTTAGATGTGATTTTTAATTTTAATTAATAAAATTTATGATTTAAATACATTAATTTTCCTTATATATACTTTAA